GTGCGCAGGCAACATTGAGAGTAATGGTTTCATTTTCAAATCTGAATGATGATTTAATGTGTATTTTCCTACTGAGACAGTAAACTTTTAAGACCAATATTTTGTTTTATCATGGGATTTCCTTGTACCACAAAATAATCACAACATTCTCGATTGCAAAACCGTAGACTGACTGACTGACTGAGTTTTGGTTTTACGCCGCTTTTAGCAATATTCCAGCAACATCACGGCGGGGGACACCAGAAATGGGCCTCACACATTGTACCCATGTGGGGATTCGAACTCGGGTCTTCGGCGTGACGAGCTAACGCTTTAACTACTAGGCTACCCCACCGCCCCCAAACCGTAGAGGGAAAATGAGTGAGTTTAGTTGTACGCCGCACTCAGCAATATTTCAGCTATATGGCGACGGTCTGTAATTTAATCGAGTCTGGGACCAGATAATCCAGTGATCAACAGCATGAGCATCGATCTGCGCAAATGGGAACCGATGACGTGTCAACCAAGTCAGCGAGCCTGACCACCCGATCCCGTTAGTCGCCTCTTACGACACGCATGAGTTACTGAATATTCTAACCTGGACCTACATGGGTAGGAGAGAGAAAAAGTTTGAGATGCCGGTCCGCATACCTCCGCCGGGTCGAGGTTCATATCCCTCCCAGCTGTATGTGTGTGTATCTTGATTATTGTGCGTTTGAATTGTTGAATGATATTGTTTGTTTGTTGTTTAACGCCACACTCAGCAGTAGTCCAGGTATATCACAGTGCTTTGAAATATAATCAAGTGCAAATCATCACATCTAGTGATTGATAGCATGAGCATCAACCAAGCAAGCCTGACCACCCGATTCATCCCGATCCTCTTACAACCATGGGTAGCTGAAGACCAATTCGGACCAGGATCCTCACGGTGGCAATTGTTGAATAAATGAATGAATGAATGAATAATTAGTTCTTTAATAATAATAATATTATTATTATTATTTCTCCGGAAGGTTCTTGGTTCGACTAGGCAGCGTTTCCTGGGAGAAGTCCCATTCGCTGTCTGGGCTGCGTGTAGAGGGGGGCAAGGGCCCTGAGCTGATGATGAGCCTTACCAGCCTGACTGTGCCAGGATCACCCGAACCCTCTCTGCTGCATTTTCATCTTTAATCTGTAAAACATAATAATAATAATAAGTGCATTTATATTGCGCTATTTTCCATCAGGTATCAAGGATAGTACTTGGAAAAGACATGGGTTTTAAGTTAGGACTTGAAGACAGCTAAAGATGGGGAGGTTTTGATATCAAAAGGAAGACAGTTCCAGAGAGAAGGAGCACAGAATGAGAATGATCTCTGGCCGAAGGATTTGAGATTGGTCCTGGGGATGGTAAATAAAAGTTGATCATTGGATCTCAGGTTGTTGGGATCTTTACGCTGCATCAGCAATATCACAGCTATTCGCGGAGAAGATACGTCAATAAAATCTCCAATATGTGCATGCAAACTTTATCCTTCTTAGATCGAGACAGATCGTTTCCTTCCATGTAGAGAGTGAGTGAGTGAGTTAAAATTTAACGTCACATCGGCAATATTTCAGCCATATCGTGACGAGAACATTTGATATTGAAATGAAATATATGAATATTATAAAAAAAACTGCCGACGAAGGACAGTAAAACCACTAGAATATCACTGATGTGTATGTAAAACTAGTAATTAAATCTAAAACGTTTTAACTAAAGGGGAAAAACAATACAGTATAAAAATGGGCTATAAATCGCCAATAACTGAAGGTAGATCACCATACCAGTGACCATGGGGACTTACATTACTTTTGCTACCTGCATGGACCCTAGTTGGATTTACACCATCCCTTCAGTCATTGGCGACAGAAGAGAAATCTAGCCATAAATTAAAAGCACACATATTCTACGATTAAAAACGTGGTAAGCCTAAATTTACTCTAAATGTGTTGGGACTTACGTACCCTCTCAGGACTCCATGTAGAGACGTTCCACAGGGGAGGTTCTGAAAGCACCTAAACATAATGTCATACCCTGATGGTGAATGCTGTCCAATACTCGTAACTATGATTTGCGAGCTGAACCATGTATAAAACATCCGTAATCGAGTTTAGACCTATTTTAACTTCGATAAAGACGTAGAAGCGTTTTTTATCCCCACCCTATGTAACATTTGACACAACTTTCAGAATATGCAGTGCTTTTAAACAGTTCTTTTCTAGACTTTTGGTGTGGGGTATAAATGATAATTTACTATTGTTACGGATTATAAATTACCGTGACAAACCTCCTGTGAGTCCCCTTTAAACCGGCAAAAATAGAACACAGACACGTCTATAATATTCATACATATATTGAATAAAAACAAGGTAAAAATTAATGACAGCACAGATTTCTAGTACAATACAATTGAGTCACAAATCAAAAATACTAGGTCACAATTTTAAAATGTAACTCACCAAAGTCTTGATATTTCTGGTAAACAGGTGTACTGATTGAACATTGTTGACAGCTGTTGAATGATCAGTGTAGACGAGGCCTAGGTCTTGAAGCGTCGATGCTTGCAGACAAATGAGAGTAAATCCAAAGCTGTAGTCCCCTCGTACATCTCAACAACCATCCTTTATATACCTATTATACAGTTCTAGATATTTCTAGCAAAATCTAAGCCAAATCACTATCATTTAGAAATTACGAGAATCCCACTGTCTTCCGCCGGAAGCAACAACAACAACAAAAGGGAGGTAACTCTTAACTCCTTAGCTTACTCTTAAGCGGTGAAATTACATAAGTTCAGGGTGTGAGTTCCAATCCTCACCCAACGCTTTCAACATTTGTGACCCATAACAGCTAAAAGTCACCTAATGTGACATAATTAACAAAAAAACACATCCTCAAAACACTATCAAAAGTGACGCCTAAGAATTTGGTTTCTTTAACGACCTTTTATTGATGTCATATTTCAAATAATTCTTGGTCAGCATGCATTTTCCGTTTAATACAAAAATGAACAGAGCACGTTTTAGATGTAGAAAATCCAAACCCGTTTTCCTGGGACCACTTGTGTATTTTGTTGAGACAAAGTTGTAACAATCTTTCAACATTGTTTATATTTTGTACCCCTGCATGAAATATTAAAATCATCAACAAACATTGACCCATTAATATTTCAATTAAATAATGTTATTTATTTTAATACTAAATAGTGACTGATAAAATACTATCTTAAGGGACTCCCATTCCCTGATCATATAATTCAGACTATGTGGAACCCACCCAAGGGGCGGATACAGCTCTTTAAGAACGGGAGTGGGGGTTGGGGTCGGGTGGGTGCACTCTCTTGAGAAAAGGGAGGGGGTGCACACTTCAATTATTAAACTTTCAGGACAAAGGGTGGTAAGGGGTAGCGCACCCCTGCACACACACATCCCTCTGGATCCGCCTATGCCCCCATGACAAATTTTCTATTGTCTGAAAATTGAAGACTGGTATACGACCACGCAGGCCCATGTGGTTGTGGTCTTTAAGGATACCATATTTTCACGTGGTGTTGTAGGCCTTTTCCAGATACTAGGTGTTGCGTTTTAATAAAACTATTACGTACAAATGATCAATAGTGATCCTCTGGCGTCTGAAGCCAAGCTGGATATATGTTATCAGATTATTTGATTCGAAACACCAAACAAGACGTCCATTCATCATACGTTCCATTGGTTTACATACACAACTGGTCAGCGCAATAGGACGATAATTAGTAGGGTAAGAGTGATCTTTCCCTGGTTTTGGTACAGTTGCTTCACGCCAGGAAGGTGGAAACTCGCTTTCCCAGACATCGTTAAATATGGATAACAGGGCTAAAAGAGATGGTTCAGGATGATGTTTTAATAGTTTATAGTGTATATCATCCGGACCTGATGCTGCATCATAAGCTTTGATCAACCCTCCCTTTAACTCGCTCAAGGAAAATGATTCGTTGTAGTCCTCAGAATTATTTGACGTAAAATTTAGCGTTTTCTTTTCCTGTTGATTTTTAATTCTTTTAAACTGAGGATCATAGTTTGCAGACACTGAATTTGCGCTTATAGCTTCTGCCAACGCATTAACAATGTCTGTTTTAGTTGTTAATATCTTATCATTTGATTTTAGATGATGTATACAGCTTGTAGGTCCTTTTTACCTATTATTTTCTGTACCAGGATCCATGGCCTATTAATGGGATTGGGAACATTCAATTTGGAGACAAATGTATTCCAGCTGGTGCATTTAGCTTGTTTAATTGTCCTGCGAACCTTTGCTCTTGATACATGTAAATGCTTTAAGTTGTCTTGAGTAGGATGTTTATTGAGCGTTCTTTCTGTTCCTTGATGTTTTACAGTCATCATTGTACCATGGTGTTTTTGTACGTAAAGTTGCCGAGGTCTTTGGGTTGAAGTGCCAATGTCAAACAATTTATCAGAAAATGATTTGATCTGGTCCAGATCACCAATCAAATTTTCCAACATTAATTCATCACTGCATAAAGTACTAAGGTGTGCCAGTCAGCCTTACTAAACGTCCATCTAGGAATGGAGATGTCAATACATGGAGTGTAAGCTTGAAGTATGGTCGGGAAATGATCGCTACCACACATGTCATCATGTACAGAACACAAAAACTTACACGGATCTGTAATGGCTAAATATAAAGCGGAATACGACAGTGTTTGCTAATATCCCCCATGCAAATACGAAAATGTTTGCTAACATTGCCCATACAAATGCTTGCTAAAATGCAAACACGTGGGACTTGCATCCGAATGCATATGTCAAAACAGTGTATGTTTACAAGCAGTCAGGTGAAAACAGTGAAAAAGCTGCATACGAACAATAGCAAACAGGCCGGTGTACCGAGCATCCGACCAAATTAAACTTGCTCTAATTCTGTTCACAACAAATGAATTATATAATTCATCGATCTTCATTATACCCACATGAAAACACTGCAAAGCCGACAACACTGAACTGCAACAATTGGAAAAGTACAAAATGAAAATTACATCGAACACCGTCACAAAATCAGCCACATCAAGAGATCTGATGATGAGAGGATTTTAAACCTAAACAATAATGAACACATCTACATGACAACCAATGATGGACGTGAGAGTGTTCAACATCTTCATGTGATCCTGGTTATTGTTATCCCTCGTTTGCCTTTGACGTCCCGTGGAATCTATTTCTGCAGATATTATCAGAGGACCTTCCGAATCCTGCATGCATCATGTATTTGAGCAAACATTTCTTTCAGTCGGAGACTCACTGACATTCAGAAACATATGGACAAAAAAGGCTGTGGAGCATCGGTACGAACATATCCTTCAGTAGTCTTTGTGTACGAATACTGGCTTTCTGTACTGAGTGTACCCACTGGAAATAGAACATTTACTATATGCATTTCTGAGATCGTCACAATTTGAATTTACGCTTTGTGGTCTTTGTATATAGACAGTGGCATTGACATATTTGCGACTAGACTTGACGCCCATTGTTGTTAATGAATGTATTCTCATGGGTACATGTTTTATTGACAAACAGGTTGAGAACATCGGCCTCCATGGAACTAACGCAGCTGCATGTCGAAGGGTACTGAAGTTTCTGTGCACAGTGAAGACGGAACTGAAAATATCCAAGAGAAGGTAATTTCTGTGTATTAACACAAGTAAGTCAAAGTTTATGCTTACATATTTATATATCATATGTAAAGTTGATAGTATTGATGATACTCAAGGGGTGATGGGGTAGCATAGTTGTTAAAGCGTTCGATCGTCACGGTGAAGACCCGGGTTCGATTCTAAACATGGGTTCAATGTGTGAAGCCCATTTCTAGTGTCCCCGCCGTGATATTGCTGGAATATTGATAAAAGCGGCGTTAAACCAAACTCACTCACTCAGTGATACTCAAACAGTTTTTCTCTTGATTACATATATACTGGAATAGCGTATACACTGTTCACAGAGACAAATTCTAGTTGTATATGTACGTAATCGTTGATAGTATGATGCCATATATATAGAGAGTAAGTAAATACTGGTCTGGTACTCACCCACTATGTACATATGGTATATTGATTTATTATCTAAAGTGTTGTGCAGTGTTAGAATATGGTGAAAGACTCACATCAATTCCTCTCACATCACTCATTCAGCAGAACATATTGAAAATAGAATTGCCTCAATACTTCATACAATTATTCACGAAAATTACAATGAAAACGGTTCGTAGTATATTTATAACAGTCGTTGTTAATAACATCTTTTACCAAAGAAGTTTTATGTATTGCTTTACTCTCACTCTTGGTCAAATATACATATGGATACTGAATTGCGTAAATGCGTTTTAAACATTTTTTTAATTATCCCACTTTGGAACCATGTAAGTATGCGTCCTTTGAAGGTGGGAAGATTGAAAACATTAGACATTAGCATTATTCCACGGAGCCCCGGTGTTAATCCTTTAAGTACCATTGAGCGAAGGTCATTGAGTCATTGATGCGCTTGAAGTTGGGCAAATCAGCAGGTATTGATAAACTTTGTGCGGAAAAGTGTTTGTATGGTAATCCATTTCTCATTGATAAAATGGTTAAGCTGTTTAACACTGTTTATGATTCAGGTGTTTTCCCTTCGCAGTGGTCAGAAGATATTATTTTCCCGTTGCACAAAGGTGGATCTCGTGAGATAATTGTAGAGGTATAACGTTGTTGTAAATCTTTAGCAAAGTATATATTGGTATTATTAACAGCAGAATACCTAACTGGGCTAATGATGAATCGCTTATTTCAGAATCTCAGTCCGGGTTCAGAGCCGGATATTCTACGACTGATAATCTTTTTACTCTGTGTACACTTGTGCAAAAATATTTATCCAAGAGGAAAAGTAAACTCTATGTTGCCTTTGTTGATTTCATAAAGGTCTTTGATAGTGTTAATAGCAATAAGTTGCTGTTATTTCTTCGCAGAATTGGTTTAAAGGGAAAAGTTGTTTCGTAGCGTTAAGAGTATGTATAAGGTTTTCAAATCTTGTGTCAAGACAAATGACGGTTTTTCAGATTTCTTTGAATGTCCGAATGGAGTAAGGCAAGGCTGCGTCTTAAGTCCTGTACTGTTTTCCCTGTTCATTAATGAGTTGGCGAATGAAGTAATTAATTCAAACGGTAGAGGTATCCAGTTGTATCCTGATATCATTGAAGTTTTTCTGTTACTTTTCGCAGATGACGTTGTTCTTGTTGCAGATAGTGTAAATGGTCTGCAGAAGCGTCTTCATATTCTCCAAAGTTATTGTAAAACATGGAATTTGACGGTTAATATGTCTAAAACTGAAATAATTGTTTTCAGAAAAGGTGAAAAATTATCACGTTTTGAAAAATGGACTTACAGTGGGAATAATGTGGATGTAGTTTCTAATTATAACTATCTTGGTCTAGTTCTTACAAACCAATTAAGTGTTTCACAGAGCTGCAATTTTGTTGCTATAAAGGCCAAAAACAACTTATTTGAAGTTTTAAGAACGATGTATCCCTATGGGCAGTTTACCTATAAGGTTGTCTTTACAATATTTGATTCTCAGATTTTGCCAATGATATTGTTCCGAGTTGTGGGGCTTTCAGCGTCTAGAGTGTTTAGAGAGAAAACAACATTTAGCAATCAAACGGTTTCTTAACATTAGTACAAGAGCTCCGAATGTTTTAGCTATGGGCGAATGTGGCAGATTCCCAGTTTATTTGTCTACTTTGTTGAGATGTGTTAAATTTTGGCTTAGAGTAACTTGTATGCCTGGCCATAGGTATCCACGTAAAGCATATGAAATGCTGTACTCATTTGATAACGTTGATCGCCATACATGGGCTTCATCGGTTAAGCAAGTTTTATTTAGCTACGGATTTGGTTACGTCTGGCTGTTCCAGGCTGTTGGCTGTGCAGAAATATTTTTGTCAGAATTTAAGCAACGTGCTACTGATATCTTAACTCAGGAATGGAAATCTAGCTTGCATTGTAGCAGCAGATATGACACTTATTCTTCATTCAAATTGAATTTACAACCGGAATTGTATTTAACTTATATGGTCGTGACTTGACGAAACTGCGTATTGGCATGGTCAGATTACAAGTTGAACTTGGGCGATATTATAACGTAATAAGAACAATGCGACTGTGTAAAGTGTGTAAGTCAGACATGATTGAATATGAATTTCATTTTGTTATGACATGTCCAGCTTATGAAAGCTTAAGATCTAAATACCTACCGTTTGTCTGTACATCCTATAATATAACAACTAGTTTCATCAACCTAATGGCATCTAAGGATACAAACGTTATTATTAAGCTACAACTATATTTTCACTGTGCACTACGTCTGAGATACTGAAATTTGTAACATGCAAATGCCAACCTGTTGTATCATCTGTATATGGGCCGGGGGGCCACACATGCGGAATAAACGATTGAATTGAATTGAATTGAGTGAAGGTGAAGGCCATCCGGTTTGAATGTAACTCATTTGTAGCCAAATAAACAACGAACATTTTTTTTTATTGTTCAGATGATAGGGTGTAATCATGACGAAACGAGTTGCATACAAAACCACGCCAGAAATAGACGCGAAATACATAAAAACTGTTACTGAAAACTCTAGAATTTGTCACCTGAAATTCTAAAGGTTAATAAATTCGTTATTAACCAGGCAGTATGGGATCGTACGAAATTCCATTTTCGATGGTTCAAAATCAACACCCGGGCCCCGTTGCACAAAGATATCTTAGCGCTAAGACTACCGTAAGCCTATGTTAAAGTATAGTAGTTACGATCATATTAGCTCTAAGAGCTTGTGTCAGTGAGTGAGAGTGAAGGCTATCCGGTTTGAATATGGAAAATGTAACACATTTGGAGCCATTTCTGTATCTCATTGTTCAGATCACTGGGTGTAATGTTAATGTAATGTTAACATGAAATAAACTTCATCTACAGAAACAATGACTGTGGATGAGAAGACAGAGGTTGTGACGTTTGACGCAGACCGGCGTTCGCCAAAGTATAGAATGAAAGATCTGTGGATTGAATTCCGAGATTCTACAGGTCTTCATGGTGTTGATAAGATTAAGCCTCCTTCAATCAGCCCCTTTAGCATCCGAGGGTAGGTGTGGATGTGTGTATGTTTGTTATTTAACACCAAATCTATGTAAACACGACTTAACAATTATCAAATGTAGGCAAGGAAAGCTAGTGTTATTGTAACAACCCATCCAAGCAATCAGGGCCCTGCAACACCTGAATCCTAAGTCATCAAGTTCATATGATGCATTTAAGCCTTTCTTTGGGGCCTACTTTAACAGGAGTTTTAGCAACACGATGCTATGCTTGTGTGGGAAGATGTATTTAACTAGCGTTCTTGAACGCAAAAGAATTGCCTGCAGTATCGATCTCAGAGCTATGGCTTTTGCGGTTCTTGAATTGAAGACCAAAGACAAAAAGAAATGACTATTTTGTTGAAAAGATCGCTTGGGTTCTTTATGAAGAATTTCTTTCAGTTGGAGGTGATTTTGAAAACAACTAACTAACAACTGTCATGTTACCGTGGTCCTCTACAGGGTTGTAAGGAATACATTGGAATGAGGATTAGACATTAAATAGTCACAGGGCACGGTTTTGTAGTAAGATTTTGCATGATTAACTACCAAAATGCGTTGGTAAATGGTCATAGTATCGAATATTCGTTTATTATCTCCATATGGATTTGCACTCTAAGAGACCCCTTCATATATACACACCTTATCCGTTTGTTGTGTGTGACAATCTAACAATGCTCATTCTAGTCATCTTACTTTGACAGTTTGAGTTGCTAAATGTTTATAATATCTACCGTTGGTTTATTAACTCCATATGGATTCACACTATGAGAGGCCCCTGTACATATATGCAGGACTTACCTGTTAGATGTGTCTGACAATCTACCAATACTCATTCTAGTCATCTTACTTTGACAGGTCGATTTGGATGATAGCACTGTGTTTAACTACGGCCTTCCTGATGTATAACCTTGTCGATCAGATTGGAGACTACTACCGCTATCCCACCATCACCAAGTTCACACCCAGGATGGTGCCCTTCATCGACTTTCCCGCCGTCACCATCTGCAACAGATGCACCCTCAACAAAACCCGTCTTGACGTTTATCCAGAAATGGAGACCTATTTCTTCAACAGATCTATAGGATTGGTGAATGCAAGCTCATTTCCTGTTTCAGATGTGTTTCAGGAACAATTGTCTTTAGAATGGTGGAGGAATATGTCTATGGATGGAGCCGAAATGCTGATGTCATGTGTCTTTGGTGGTGTACAGTTTGACTGCATGAGCAAGTTCCGACCTATTTTCACCACTGAGGGATTGTGCCATACGTTCAACTTCAATGACAGTGAAATTGCCCAAGTGAAGAAGGCGGGTGACTCCAAGAATCTCATGGTCTTAATGAACACCAATCAGGATCACTACACATTTGTAGCAAACATGGCAGCAGGGATTAAGGTAAATCACAAGTTCTCTAAGTACCTGAGTTAGGGCAACGAAATAACTGGAAAAGTCACCATCTGAACGTTTCTTGAGATCGTTCAACTTTGAAGTGTTGAAACAATCTGATATATTTTGCGGTGGTGATGCTGTGATGTTTTACATTCCTCTTAAGGTCATCTTCAGAATTGTGCAATTAAATCTACTTATCTGAAACATTTACAACCGTGATTTCAGGTGATTAGTGTTAAATCAGTTTGTAATGTACCACATATTATTCTGCTTCATCCCTTTATTGATCTCGACTTTCATTTGGAGTGGAAACTTCCGGTAGTACGGGAAGAGCTCATCCATCTAGCTTATTCTATCTGGATCAATTTATCCCCAAGGAATAATTAAATGTCAAATCTAAAAAGAACGAAAATCTGTAGGTAATTTAGAGAAACAAACATGGAAAGAAACGAGTCATGTTGTACTACTGATATCTTTGGTGGAATGACGTTAAAAAGTCCTGTCCTTTCAGTCCTCAAGAAGTGTCAAAAACCGAGAACAATCGGTTATAACCTCTGCCAACTGCAATTACTTCCCTGACTCTCCTCTTCACTGACTTAATCGCGTCACATTCTTGTCTCTTTTACAAAGATGTCAACAATGAGAGGAGAGTCAAGCATTTCACATATTTTTTTTGTCGATGAACTGCAAATGGCATTTGATTTCATGTTTTGACAAATTGTCCTAAACCTCTGAAGATAGATATGTAGGTATATCTGTGTTCACGACGTTTACTCACGAATGCCCCATGGATCAAGGAGGTATTCGATCCTTAAGTTTGTTATGTGGGATAGTGGTTTAAACTTGGTCCATTTCTGAGATTGTAAAATTGTAAGCAAATTCTTTGCGTTTTTGAGAATCCACATGGTATTAATTCCGCTTGTCTAAAATACCCTCAGTGAATATCGGGAAAACCTTTTCTTGAAGGATTATGGTTAGACTGAGATTTGGTGGTACATTTGCTGGACCCAGCAATATAATTCTCTTTGCACGGATATTTATGTAGCCTTTGAATTCACTACAAACGAGTAATGAACATGCCAAGCTAAATGTTGATAGCACCGTGGAATGGTTTTGGCAGATTTCTTCCTCAGTTACCATGCTGGCCTTATAAATCAACAACGACACGTGCCTAGCACTGCCGCCCAAGACTGGTCTTGTACTCAGGGGATGGTTATCGAAATGAGGCACAACAACCTTGTCTTGGATGTCAGCCACGTACCGTTGTCCAGTCAGATTTTGTCTGATTGTTGCAAGGTCACGTTTACAGTCCTATGAGACCATCAATGAACCCCCCCGCCAAACCCCCGCTGTTTTGTGCTCTTGGACGTCTGATAGGTCTTCTAGCTCCTGATCCGGCCGATTTTAGGCGATTTCGGACCGTTCTGTTGGACAAAAGACTCTCTGTTTAACACGCCACGTGACATGAGAGGATGAGCTCTTGTGATCCTAAGAATCCTTATGTTTTGTGGTAAATCGGCTGATTGACGAATGACAACCAGCTCTCTTGCAATGGCCCTCAGTGACAAGTCTCAGTGCCTTCTATGAACAGTTGTCAGTTAATTGCTTCTCCCATATGTATTTATAAACAACGAGTTGTACGAACAGTGTGTGAAAAATTGAAAATTTGCAGTATGGTGCGCCTGCAGAGACAAAACACAATTATGATATGAATTTAAGTTGCTATGTTGGGATGAATAATCATAACAGCTGCAATCATTTTTGCAATGTGTATGGATAAGACTATTAGCTTTGATGCCTTTGATCTTTATATCTGCACATCAATATAGAATTGGCTTTGAGGAAATGTTGTGTATACATGCAGGTATTTCAACTTCAATGACAGTGAAATTGCCCAAGTGAAGAAGGCGGGTGACTCCAAGAATCTCATGGTCTTAATGAACACCAATCAGGATCACTACACATTTGTAGCAAACATGGCAGCAGGGATTAAGGTAAATCACAAGTTCTCTAAGTACCTGAGTTAGGGCAACGAAATAACTGGAAAAGTCACCATCTGAACGTTTCTTGAGATCGTTCAACTTTGAAGTGTTGAAACAATCTGATATATTTTGCGGTGGTGATGCTGTGATGTTTTACATTCCTCTTAAGGTCATCTTCAGAATTGTGCAATTAAATCTACTTATCTGAAACATTTACAACCGTGATTTCAGGTGATTAGTGTTAAATCAGTTTGTAATGTACCACATATTATTCTGCTTCATCCCTTTATTGATCTCGACTTTCATTTGGAGTGGAAACTTCCGGTAGTACGGGAAGAGCTCATCCATCTAGCTTATTCTATCTGGATCAATTTATCCCCAAGGAATAATTAAATGTCAAATCTAAAAAGAACGAAAATCTGTAGGTAATTTAGAGAAACAAACATGGAAAGAAACGAGTCATGTTGTACTACTGATATCTTTGGTGGAATGACGTTAAAAAGTCCTGTCCTTTCAGTCCTCAAGAAGTGTCAAAAACCGAGAACAATCGGTTATAACCTCTGCCAACTGCAATTACTTCCCTGACTCTCCTCTTCACTGACTTAATGCGTCACATTCTTGTCTCTTTTACAAAGATGTCAACAATGAGAGGAGAGTCAAGCATTTCACATATTTTTTTGTCGATGAACTGCAAATGGCATTTGATTTCATGTTTTGACAAATTGTCCTAAACCTCTGAAGATAGATATGTAGGTATATCTGTGTTCACGACGTTTACTCACGAATGCCCCATGGATCAAGGAGGTATTCGATCCTTAAGTTTGTTATGTGGGATAGTGGTTTAAACTTGGTCCATTTCTGAGATTGTAAAATTGTAAGCAAATTCTTTGCGTTTTTGAGAATCCACATGGTATTAATTCCGCTTGTCTAAAATACCCTCAGTGAATATCGGGAAAACCTTTTCTTGAAGGATTATGGTTAGACTGAGATTTGGTGGTACATTTGCTGGACCCAGCAATATAATTCTCTTTGCACGGATATTTATGTAGCCTTTGAATTCACTACAAACGAGTAATGAACATGCCAAGCTAAATGTTGATAGCACCGTGGAATGGTTTTGGCAGATTTCTTCCTCAGTTACCATGCTGGCCTTATAAATCAACAACGACACGTGCCTAGCACTGCCGCCCAAGACTGGTCTTGTACTCAGGGGATGGTTATCGAAATGAGGCACAACAACCTTGTCTTGGATGTCAGCCACGTACCGTTGTCCAGTCAGATTTTGTCTGATTGTTGCAAGGTCACGTTTACAGTCCTATGAGACCATCAATGAACCCCCCGCCAAACCCCCGCTGTTTTGTGCTCTTGGACGTCTGATAGGTCTTCTAGCTCCTGATCCGGCCGATTTTAGGCGATTTCGGACCGTTCTGTTGGACAAAAGACTCTCTGTTTAACACGCCACGTGACATGAGAGGATGAGCTCTTGTGATCCTAAGAATCCTTATGTTTTGTGGTAAATCGGCTGATTGACGAATGACAACCAGCTCTCTTGCAATGGCCCTCAGTGACAAGTCTCAGTGCCTTCTATGAACAGTTGTCAGTTAATTGCTTCTCCCATATGTATTTATAAACAACGAGTTGTACGAACAGTGTGTGAAAAATTGAAAATTTGCAGTATGGTGCGCCTGCAGAGACAAAACACAATTATGATATGAATTTAAGTTGCTATGTTGGGATGAATAATCATAACAGCTGCAATCATTTTTGCAATGTGTATGGATAAGACTATTAGCTTTGATGCCTTTGATCTTTATATCTGCACATCAATATAGAATTGGCTTTGAGGAAATGTTGTGTATACATGCAGGTATTTCAACTTCAATGACAGTGAAATTGCCCAAGTGAAGAAGGCGGGTGACTCCAAGAATCTCATGGTCTTAATGAACACCAATCAGGATCACTACACATTTGTAGCAAACATGGCAGCAGGGATTAAGGTAAATCACAAGTTCTCTAAGTACCTGAGTTAGGGCAACGAAATAACTGGAAAAGTCACCATCTGAACGTTTCTTGAGATCGTTCAACTTTGAAGTGTTGAAACAATCTGATATATATTTTGCGGTGGTGATGCTGTGATGTTTTACATTCCTCTTAAGGTCATCTTCAGAATTGTGCAATTAAATCTACTTATCTGAAACATTTACAACCGTGATTTCAGGTGATTAGTGTTAAATCAGTTTGTAATGTACCACATATTATTCTGCTTCATCCCTTTATTGATCTCGACTTTCATTTGGAGTGGAAACTTCCGGTAGTACGGGAAGAGCTCATCCATCTAGCTTATTCTATCTGGATCAATTTATCCCCAAGGAATAATTAAATGTCAAATCTAAAAAAAGAACGAAAATCTGTAGGTAATTTAGAGAAACAAACATGGAAAGAAACGAGTCATGTTGTACTACTGATATCTTTGGTGGAATGACGTTAAAAGTCCTGTCCTTTCAGTCCTCAAGAAGTGTCAAAACCGAGAACAATCGGTTATAACCTCTGCCAACTGTAATTACTTCCCTGACTCTCCTCTTCACTGACTTAATGCGTCACATTCTTGTCTCTTTTACAAAGATGTCAACAATGAGAGGAGAGTCAAGCATTTCACATATTTTTTGTCGATGAACTGCAAATGGCATTTGATTTCATGTTTTGACAAATTGTCCTAAACCTCTGAAGATAGATATGTAGGTATATCTGTGTTCACGACGTTTACTCACGAATGCCCCATGGATCAAGGAGGTATTCGATCCTTAAGTTTGTTATGTGGGATAGTGGTTTAAACTTGGTCCATTTCTGAGATTGTAAAATTGTAAGCAAATTCTTTGCGTTTTTGAGAATCCACATGGTATTAATTCCGCTTGTCTAAAATACCCTCAGTGAATATCGGGAAAACCTTTTCTTGAAGGATTATGGTTAGACTGAGATTTGGTGGTACATTTGCTGGACCCAGCAATATAATTCTCTTTGTACGGATATTTATGTAGCCTTTGAATTCACTACAAACGAGTAATGAACATGCCAAGCTAAATGTTGATAGCACCGTGGAATGGTTTTGGCAGATTTCTTCCTCAGTTACCATGCTGGCCTTATAAATCAACAACGACACGTGCCTAGCACTGCCGTCCAAGACTGGTCTTGTACTCAGGGGATGGTTATCGAAATGTGGCACAACAACCTTGTCTTGGATGTCAGCCACGTACCGTTGTCCAGTCAGATTTTGTCTGATTGTTGCAAGGTCACGTTTACAGTCCTATGAGACCATCAATGAACCCCCCGCCAAACCCCCGCTGTTTTGTGCTCTTGGACGTCTGATAGGTCTTTTAGCTCCTGATCCGGCCGATTTTAGGGCGATTTCGGACCGTTCTGTTGGACAAAAGACTCTCTGTTTAACACGCCACGTGACATGAGAGGATGAGCTCTTGTGATCCTAAGAATCCTTATGTTTTGTGGTAAATCGGCTGATTGACGAATGACAACCAGCTCTCTTGCAATGGCCCTCAGTGACAAGTCTCAGTGCCTTCTATGAACAGTTGTCAGTTAATTGCTTCTCCCATATGTATTTATAAACAACGAGTTGTACGAACAGTGTGTGAAAAATTGAAAATTTGCAGTATGGTGCGCCTGCAGAGACAAAACACAATTATGATATGAATTTAAGTTGCTATGTTGGGATGAATAATCATAACAGCTGCAATCATTTTTGCAATGTGTATGGATAAGACTATTAGCTTTGATGCCTTTGATCTTTATATCTGCACATCAATATAGAATTGGCTTTGAGGAAATGTTGTGTATACATGCAGGTATTTCTCCATGATCCATCTGTCCACCCAGACGCTGGCTCCACCATTGTGATGGTGGCATCCGGCTTCTCCACATATGTCTCCATGAAAAAATATGAGGTCAGTACGTATGAATATTCAAGCAAACATCGTTGGGGCTGTGTTTCGAAGTGAATAACTTCCCTGCGCATTCCTTCATTATTCCTGCGATCTCAAAACGAGACTAATAATTACTCATGGCAATCTGAATGCTCGAAGATACGGGGATGAACTTTTGCGACCAGTTGTGTTGCGATTATCTAGCAACAACCACGTGGCATTGCACGATAACGTAAGGCCTCATACAGCAAAGTTGACAAACGACTTTCGCCACAACGCTAACATCGTTGTCTTGACGTTGCAAGCATGTTCTCCCGACATGAATCCGATGGAACACTTATGGGACTACCTGGATCGACAAATCAGAAGACTACCAGCGCCACCTGTCACCGCTCAACAACTGGAACAAGGTCTCCAAGAGGAATGGCAACGGATCACGTCTAACGTCATCCGTCGTCTTATGTCATCAATGCATTGACGTGTTTTGTTCATTTGTGTAAAGTTCACACTATGATACCACGCGTCTTTCAGTGTCAGTCAAACGGTACCTCGACTTTGTATGAAATGAAATTGTGTATATTTGCTGTAAAATTGAATGCTCTATTGAAATTAGCAGATGTTCATTATTATGCGTTTGGTCAAAGTTTGGTCAACACACTGTATACTTTCTTTTGAGCACTAGTATATTATCTGTGTAAGCTAACCATAGCATTGTGCAATTAAGTCCTACATTTCAATAAGGTGATTTCGTACTAAACACAAATAACGTGAAGCTTTGTTTGTAGTATGTCTACCAACCGCTTCCCTACATGGCGTTTGATCACGTGGACTGTGTGGACACAACTAGTCCCAAGTTTGTGAATCCTCTCAAGTACTACTCCCCTTACACCTTTCACCATTGCGTCATGGAGTGTGTCCAGACCAAGGCCTTCGACCAGTGTGGATGTGTCGGACCTTCTGATCCACGTAAGTTATTAACTCATTTTCAAAACGATTTCATCGCACGTGTATTTCAGTATTTTTTTATTCAATGGAATTCTGTAGTAAAAAAATATAATTAATTCCTTTCTTTCTATCTCGTGACGGAAATGGTAGTGCTCCGTGAAGGAATGGTTGCGTAACAATCACATTTACAGATTTATATTGCAGGGGGTGGTCCTTTGTGTTCATTGACCAGAGAGGATAGTTGTTACAAGCCCATTCTTGGTGAGTATACGGGACTAGGAATTTACCGATAACGGTAGTCTTTTACAATGAGGTGAGACCTCTTCTATCGTGGTATATTATATGTGGAAATATCCAAAACGTGTTACACTGTGTAATCATTTGCTGGATGCTGGATACAGCCATAATACTGCTGAATGTGGCGTCAAAGAAACAGATACTCACGGTATGGTCAGAATTGTACAATCGACCCTGCTTTTAGCAAAGACGTCTCATTGATGTGGAACGGGTTTTGTCGTGTCTTTTCACAAGATGCAGAGTCCAGCAAAGCTAACTTCCTGGAGGGATGTGGGTGTGTCAGCGAGTGCAAGTTTGACAGTTACACTGCCCAGGTGTCCTCTAGCTCATTCCCAGCAAAGGTCTGGATCAACCACCTCCTGAAGACCAGAGGGGCACAGGACAAAGAGGCCATGACGTAAGACTTCCGCGTGGACCAAGGCCTCGTTCCAGAGAGCGATCTTAGCGCTTGGGTGACCATAACATCCATACTTTCACATGGACGTACATTCATTGTAGCTCCAAGATTGCTTTGAGAAACGTGATCTAGTCTCTGTTTCCGTAACAAAAATGTCATAAACAACTATTGTTTATTTCAATCTATGGATGCGAAGGAAATGTGATACATTTGTGTTTCAAACCAATGTTTCAGTCTTCTATTCGTTTGAAACAGCGCCCAGGGCATTGAATACTCAGTATCAGCCGTACATCTAAAGCAGCGTAATGTTGTTGTTTTGTAAAATGTAATTCTTTATGTTCTAATGGGAATATGTAGCACAATGGAAAGTCCTTCATGAAAGGTTCAGAAAAGAAAAAGGTTGATGAGATGGACCGAAAGCACAAAAGACGCACATGTAAATTTTCAAAATGGCGGCAGTATTACTCCCATCACACTGGGTAGTAGATGGACAAATACTTCATGATGTCTTTGATTCAGAGAGAACTTCGTGGTACTGAGAGTGTTCTACGACCAGATGATGGTGACAACCATCACACAGCAACCTCAATACACAGCAGCCTCGCTTTTTTGTAAGTGCCATATATCTTAGCCGAATAGTATTGTTTGACAGCGAGAACCTAGTACTGCATTGGCATCTTGAGTTTTCGATTATGAAAATCATATTCGTGTCCTTAATGTTCAACTGAAAACTTCCCCGACCGCGTCATACCAAATGACGTTAAAATATGGTACTTGTTGGTCCCTGTCTGGCGCTCGGCATTAATGGGTACAACAAGGACTGGTCGGCTTGGAGTCAGTATAATGTGTCTGAGTGGGATATTCATGCTTCACTGCGGCATGGTATCTCAGTGGGCTAGCACTATAAAACCAGTTTCCGCCGGGCTAGTACAAGCAGCCGTACATACACATACACACGCATGCACGTCGTCATATGAGCGAAATGTTCTCAAGCACGACGTTAAACCCAATCTCACCTCACCTCACCTCAAATGAAAACGAAATAGTGTCAAAACAAACTTACACACACCGAGTCGAAACTTTTGTTTATTTGTGTGTTGGTTTATTGTTTTGTTCAACGCCACACTCAGCAATATTCCAGCTATATGACAGCAGTCTGTAAATAATCTAGTCTGGACCAGACAATCCAGTGGTCAACATCATTGGCATCTACGCAACTGGGATACGATGACATGTGTCAAAAGTCACCCACCCTGACCACACGATCCTGTTAGTCGCCCATTATGACAAGCATGGTTTGCTGGAGACCAAGTTAAATCCGATCTTCACGGGAATAGTCGAAACGTATCCAGAGTCAGAAATAATTTTAAGAAGAGAAGTATATTTAAAGCATACTTTTTCGTATCACTCTACAGGGTACGGGGAGTCGTCTTGATATTTTGGAGTTCCTTATGTCGATGTAGATGTTCAGGCAATGGTGTTGTTGTTGCAGCGAATATCGGGGGTCAGATGTGTCTGTGTCTTGGAGCCAGCATGCTGACAGTCGCAGAGATCGCGGAATTCCTGGTGTTCATCACCCTCTTCCTCTTGGACAAATGTAGAGGAAGAAAAGCTCGTAACAGAATCAGCAACTGGTAGACAAATTGAAGGCAACAAACATGAGGATAACCATCGAATAACGAATCCAGCCAGTCTAATGGGTCCTCCTCACACTATTGCAAGACTGATTACTGACGAAAGGATAGCTTTGTTTGAATACATGTGATTTCTTTCAGCCTCAGTAAAGGTAGAATCAGATCTGTATTTGTTACAGATTAGTTTTAATTCATCACAATAGCGTTGTGAACAATACATATACACAGTACACGTTCTGATTTGCATTGGTTATAACCATGATCTTTGATCCTGATTTTTTTCTTTCAACCTTACCAGTACTATTTTCTATTTGGAATAATAATTCAACATCTTTTGTACAAATTCCAAAATGAGTAAAGATAATATTTTCTTGGCATTTTTATATCATTTATGTTTTCTCATGAAACACGAACATATGTTAATTCTTTGTTGTTTGTTGGTTTCGTTCACGTTTAAATCGTTTGTGTATAGATTTCTAGATTAAATTATTTCTTTCAACTTGGAAACAATGGTTTTTTTAGCAAATATTCTTTTTGTCATACAGCTTTTTGTCGCTACGAATCTGTTTGCAAAGATTTAAAGATGAAACACTTGAGGCTTACTCACATGCCGCCCTTATTTCAGGTTCAGTTGGGTAAATCAGAGGAAAGGAATAAACTACCTGATGGTCACTGAACGATATCAGAACCATCGACATACCCTGAAGCTTAAGTTAAACACCTTGGCCAAATTCCTGTTGTTTGTTTTGCCAACACGAGCAGAAATTCAGATTCATATCCATTGAGACACAGACCTGCAATGAGGGAGAGTACAACTGGTGCCCATGAGGATGCTTCTACTGCTTTATAAATGTTTCATCCCCAAGGTGTAGGCAGATGTAAACCATCGAGGAAATCCAGCATTTCACATATTGTCTTCTCAGTAAACTTCAAATGACCTTTTGCTTATATATTTCCTCAGTGGGATAGCGGTGGACGACGTTGAAATACACTCAGTCAAAAAAGAAACTTCACACTCATAAATTTCTAAATATTTTCTTGAAACTAAATACAAGAGTTATTATTATTATTATTAGGGGTAAATGCGTTGTTAAAGACATCATGACACACAGCAACTCCGACGTGCACAAGCATGCAGCACGTGCGAGCGGACATCTCGTGTTCCTAGTCACGTGACCTTATGAGACACGTGCAATTGAGCCCAAGTTAGCACGGTAGAGTGACATCTCGTAAAACAAGTTCTTACAGTCAATTATCCGTTGATTTGCAATGCCACGACTGTCAAACATTCAACGTGAACGTGCCATTGGCATGCTGAATACAGGAACGTCGGTCACTGACGTTGCCAGGATTGATGGATGCAGTCGACGGACTATCCATGATCTTCGGACACGTCTCCAAAAAACTGGCACCACAGCAGACCGACCTCGTTCGGGCAGACCACGTGTGACGACACATTTGCGAAATCGTAATCGATTTCTCACTGCAACGTCCTTTGCCGACTAAACAATATGTGAAATGCTTGACTCTCCTCTCATTGTTGACATCTTTGTAAAAGAGACAAGAATGTGACGCATTAAGTCAGTGAAGAGGAGAGTCAGGGAAGTGATTGCAGTTGGCAGAGTTTATAACCGATTGTGCTCAGTTTTTGACACTTCTTGAGGACTGTAACAGCGGCAGTGTTGGGTCAACGTTCGTCAATGTAGGTCAGCTATGCACGTGACAGGTATGAAGAGGTGTTCATTGCTAGCAAATAGCCGGCGAATGACATCTCTGATGACCCTGATGTCAAAAGAATCTAACTTTGGATGCCTAATTTTGTACAAGGATTTGTTTATTGGTTGTTGGTTTATTTTTCTCAATTTTTAGCACGATGTTCTTTTTCATGCCAAGAGCAAAAGTTGTACGTTTCATGTAATCCGACACCTTATAAATCGGTTTTGCTACGTTTGCTCTCTTTTAAAATAAATTCAACACATTTCTAATTAAACGTTTAGCATCATCTGAATAAGCTTTCATGATGGCAGCTAGAAGTAGTCAATGTGAATGATCCAAACGGTCTATCACTGTGCATTGCACAGGTAACTATCATGAACTGCACGTGCATTGACCTTTATGACCCAACACTGCCTCTGTTACAGGTCATTGGCTCCTCCGTCTGCAAGCAGTTTGCGTTCTGCTGTTTATTTTGTTGACAGTTGCAAAGACAGATTCTTAAATACAAATGCATAAAATCGGTGATTTACAATGTGATTAGGTTGTCTGACAAAACATCCACTTGCACAGTTTGAGATCGATTGGAGGAGACGCGGTGAACACAACGCCCAGTGTTGTGTGCAGGAAATGGACCGTTTTGGGGGTGGTAGTGTTATGGTTTGGGGTGCTTTTAATGGTCCTGCCCGTTCCAGACTGATTGTCGTTCAAGGAAAACTTAACTGCTGCAGGATACAGGGATCAAGTGCTTATTCAAGAGCTCTTGCCATTCATGGCAGCTCATGGCCCAGGTCTGACATTCCAACACGATAATGCCAGACCTTATACGGCCAATTTAACGCGGAATTGTCTTAGGAATGCTGGCATCAATGTCATGGAGTGGCCCTCAAGGTCTTCCGACCTCAGTCCCATAGAACATGTATGGGATGTGTTGGGCAGAAGACTCCGTCAAGTAAGGAACCCTCCACAGAATTTGCAGGAACTTGGTGCCATGTTGGTACAATTATGGCGACGCATCCCCCTAGCTGTGTTCAGACGCATCATTCAATCCATGAGGAGACGTTGCGTCGCAGTTGTGAACGCTCATGGAGGGCATACGCGCTATTGACATGCTTTCATCAAGTTGTAACTGACAATTTTTACTCTCTTACATTTCCGTAGCATTTCCGGTGGAACTGGTTACATTATGAACATGATTTTTATGGTATACCGTCCTTAATGGGTACGGAATGGAATAAAATCATTATTTAAAACCTCTTTTCATGTATGTTCAACTTATCGACCTCCAAACGAGTGTGAAGTTTCTTTTTTGACTGAGTATATTATTTGACAGGACTGAACACGGTTTTCTGAGATTGAAAACATTCAAGTAAATCCTTTGAGTTTTTGAGAATCCACATGGTATCAAATCCGTTTGTTTTATGTACCTTCTGTGAATACAGAAAACGTGAATATTGGGACAGTTGGCAGAATGTGCTAATTCACCTTCTGTTTCCTCTATTGCAGTTGTGTAATCTACTAATGACAAGATCATTCATTTTCTTAGCCCACTGTGAAATACACTGTACATTGTACTGGTTCTTTTTCTCTTGGGCCCACCTTTGGCTTATAATGCTTCTACAACCATGCTCATGCAACCATTATGATTATTAAGTTGTTATCCCTAAATGTAGAAGCAATATTTTAGTCCATAATTGAATAGCTTACGAAGGTAGTTATTATCAATAATAGAGAAAGTCCTTTTGCATCTCTTGACGTACATGTAGCAGTACAGTGAGTCTGGATGAAATTGTATTCGTGCAATAAAGGATTTCTTTAAATTTCCTGAAATCTGAAACGTTATTGAAACTGTTTGGAAGCATTTTGTTCACGAATTTTGCCAGAATTTCAGGCATCAGTTCTCTTTGTTCAAATTTCAAATCCGGAAACATGCGGTGTTGTGAGCAGAATATATTTCGGGTTTGGCCAACGTTACGTAGCAATATCAAGAACTATACAGTTGCTTGTCCATTTTGTGGGATTTACTGTCTGTAGACACACCCATCACCAAAGGTTGCCACAGTTGTTTAATTTCTTTTAATCACCCAGAACAAAGTCTTCTCTTTGTGTCACGGTGGTTTCTGCAGGAGAGGCAACAACTCTCCCCTGATAAATGTGTCCATAGACCTTCGTCCTTCTAGTGGGCATGGTTGTGTCGACGACTTTAGGATACCGAAACTCAATACGTTGTCTTCTTTGGTTAGAATGACGTCACCTATTTCATGATTACATTCATACAAAATTACTGTACATGACAGTCGAATCCAGTGATTGTCTCTTCATATTCTGTAAGGTCGACGCATTTAAGGCTATGAGAATGATGATATATTGTTCTAATATCCTAATTTTCATGCACGGAATGGAGTAATGTGTTAGAAATAAAATGGGAAACATCTAGTTACGTTTACTGATTATGGATCGATGCTGTCTGATAATAATCTCTGTTGTGTCTCTCTAACATAAATCAATCAAAGAGTACATGCATTGAAAATATGTGACAGGATACGGGTTGGAATTGATCTTCAGCAGCCCATGCTTGTCGTAAGAGGCGACAAATGGGATCGGGTGGTCAGACTTGGTTGACACATGTCATCGTATCCCAAATGCGCAGATCGATGATCATGCTGTTGATCTCTGGGTTGTCTGGTCCAGACTTGATAATTTACAGACAACCACCATATAGCTGGAATGTTGCTGAGTGCGATGTAAAAACTAAACTCACTCACTCAATTAAAAGAACGGTCTTTTAAAAACGTGCAGATCAGGCAAATGTTTTTTGTGTCACGTGAAGAAATATTGCACGGAGAGAAGTTCGAAGGTAAAAAATTCCTCCTGTTTTACTGAACATCGTTAATACTAAAAATGTAAATTAGTCTTTATTTCTTAAATAGAGTGAGTTTGGTTTTACGCCCTTTGTAGCAATATTCCAGTAATATAAGTTCGGGGGACACCAGAAATGGGCTTCACGCGCTGCGCAGTTATACTACCCGTCCCAAACAGTTTCTGTTTAGTTCAGCCAACAGTTCTGTGTAAAATACTACCAAGTTAGTGATATGTCTTGGCGATCAAATATCCTTCAGCTGACAAATCGACTTGGTTCATATAAATAAAAGCCACAAAGCCTTTCTGCATCCCAAATGAATCTAAAGTCAAGTAGCGACCGCCTCCGTGGTGTAGTTAGTTAGAGCGTCCGCCCGGAGAGCGGAAGGTCGCGGAGTTCGATCCCCGACCGCGTCATACCAAAAGACGTTAAAATATGGTACTTGTTGGTCCCTGTCTGGCGCTCGGCATTAATGGGTACAACAAGGACTGGTCGGCTCGGAGTCAGTATAATGTGTCTGAGTGGGGTATTCATGCTTCACTGCGGCATGGTATCTGGGCTGGGCTAGTACAAGCAACCGCACATACATATACACACGCATGCACGTCGTCATATGAGCGAAATATTCTCAAGCACGACTTTAAACCCAATTTCACCTCACCTCACCTCACCTCACCTCACCTCACCTCACCTCACCTCACCTACAGTCAAAGTCGTGTGTACAACTCTGACAATATCATAAGCATGTGTGTATGAATCACTTTCAAACAGGTTCCTAATACCCTCAACCACCAACCGACTCCCTTTCTC